CTGTATATCTGGCAACGAGCTTGAAGGGACAACCACTGGAAATACTTGGACAGTTGACAGCAGCCGACAGACACGACTATAGAACACTGGTGTCTGCTCTAGAACTCAGGTACGGAACCAAAAACCAGTCAGAAGTCTACAGGGCCAGGTTCAGGACGAGAGTCCGTGCTAAAGGGAAGAGCCTGCAAGAGCTGGCACAAGACTTGGAGAGCATGGCACACAAGGCCTACCCAACTGCACCACCCGATCTCCTCAAGTTGTTGCTGAGGGATCAGTTTATAGATGCCTTGGACAGTCCACAACTTAAGATACAAATGAAGCAAGCACACCCCTCTACCATGCAGGATGCAATGGCCAGAGCTCTAGAATTCGAATCCTATGTTAAGTCCAGCACAGAGGTACCAAGGTTGGTACAGTCATCTGGATTCAAGGCCAGAAAAGGTCAGCTTTCAGAGAAGTTTGAGGGACACAAACCTAGGCACAAGAGAGCTCAATGTTGGAAACTTCAGCACAGGGAAGGTGCCACAGTAAAAAAGGCTGGTATCCAGAAAGGTTGTTGGAACTGTGGAAAGCACTGACATTTGAGGAGCCAGTGTAGGAGGAATATTACCAACAAGTCGGCCTTAAGGAGACCAGTAGTGGTTGGTGTTGAGCGACGCCCAGCAACCCCATCATGAAAGTCCCAACAGCTAGGTGTAAAATGCCAAGCACATACAGTGTCTACGTGACAGGGAAGCTGAATGGCCAAAGATGCAACTTTGTCATAGACTCTGCATCTCAGCAAACCCTTGTGAGCATCAAGGTGTTAGATAACGAAGGAGTACCAGAAGCCATAGAGAAGCTTTGTGGTGTGACAGGACATTCTACAAGATTGTGGGGACCAGTATGGGGGACTATTGAGCTCATGGGCACAAAGGACAGATAGAAAGTATACTTGGCTGACATTGAAGACGAATGGATATTAGGATTGGACTATCTACTACCAAGGAAGTTTGTAATTGATTTTGATGAAATGACATTTGGGAACAACAAAGACCAAGTTCCGGTAACTGTTAAAAGAGAGGTTGAACTAATTAGGTGTCATCAAGCTGAATTCAAAGTGACTGAAGAAGTTGATGATGGTGAAGTGAAACCAAATATGGATATCAAAGCAGAACAGGAAAAAGACCAAGATTTGAAACCAATGATTGATTTTCTAAAAGCAAGTGTTGTGCGTCCTGCTTGGGAGAAGGTTTCTAGTCTAAGTCCAGTGACAAAGCACTATTGGGTGCAATGGGATCAGTTAAAGCTTGCAGATGGTATTCTTGTACGGAGATGGGAAACTAACGATGGAAAAGTGACGACTTGGCAAACAGTTATAGCGAGAAAGTTACGGGAGGTTGTGCTGCGTCAATCCCATGATAATTTTCACAGGAGGACATCTCGGAATTAAGAAGACTTTGAGTCACATCCGACAAAGATTTTACTGGATAGGTATGAGGCGAGATG